TCTATCTATCTATCTATCTATCTATCTATCTATCTACTATATATCTATCTAAGAGCCATGGTGGCACAGTGGTTAGAATACAATATTGCAGACTAATTTGCTGGCTGCCAGCAGTTCGATCCTGGCTGGTTCAAGGTTGACTCAACCTCCCATCCTTCTGAGGTCAAGAAATTGAGGACCAGGATTGTTAAGAGCAAGATGTTGATATGATAAAACTCTTCATTGGCCAAGTGTGATTGGACACACAAGGAATTTGTCTCTGGTGCAGAGGTTCTCAGTGTACATCCAAGCAACAAGTGATCAACCATGATCATAATTTATATTGACTGTTTCCTAGAATGATTTCATTGCTTATTGTTCCCTATGACTATCATTAAGTGTTGTACCTGATGATTCTTGACAAATGTAAACTTTTATTTTATGTTCACTGGGAGCATTTGCACCAAGACAAATTCCTTGTGTGTCCAATCACACTTGGCCAATAAAGAATTCTATTCTATTCTATATTCTATTCTGTTCTGTTTTGTTCTGTTCTATTCTAATCACAAAATATAACCATCGTAAATCATAAGAGACAGCACTTGGTGATAGTCATTGGATGCTAAATAAAGCAATCAACATAAATCATGAGATACAAACAACGTTATAATCATAAGACACCAAAGAAATAGGTTTAAAAAAAGATGAGAAGGATAATACTGTAGGTAATACAGACCTACTGGGTGGTTTAACATCCCAGGGGTTAAGACAGTGCTGTGGGAATTAGTTGTTTAGCAGAGTGATGGTGATGGCATGGGGGGAAAAACTGTCCTTGTGTCTGGTTGTTCTGGTGTGCAGTGCCCTATAGTGTCATTTTGAGGGTAGGAGTTGAAACAGTTTATGTCCAGGATGTGAAGAGTCTAGATATTTTCACAGCCTTCTGGCTCATGCAATATACAGGTCCTCAATGGAAGGTGGGATGGTTGCGATTATATTTTCTGCAGTCCTAACTGCATGTCTGTCCTGCTTGGTTGCTGTGCCAAACCAGACAGTTGTAGAAGTACAGATGATAAAAGCCAATCATTTGTAGAACTGTATCAGCAGCTCCTTGGGCAGCCCAAGCTTTCTGAGTTGGTGTAAGGAAGAACATTCTTGGTTGTGCTTTCTTTTTGATGTTGGATGTCCATTTCAAGTCCTGAGATATTATAGAACCTGCTTTGTCTAGTATTGTAAGAGGTGGTGGAATAGGAGGGCTTCTCCTAAAATCTACCAAATCTGTTGTGTTGGACGTGTAAACCTCCCCTGGTCTTTGTGGATGGAATCCTGGCAGGATCATTGACTGACGGTTAAACATCTGCTAAGCTTTCCCACTGGGTTCCATAGTTTCTAAGGAGACCGGAACCATCAAGCGATCTCTGGTTGATTTCACCTTGGCTCTCCGGCATCATGGATTCGATGATGCAAGTGAAGGTATCTCTAGGAATCTTATTTTCCTCCATCCTTTTCCCCTTGCGCTGTTGCCTCTCTTAAAGGCAAGCGTGGGTCTCTTTCTCTCTGTCTCTCTTGATCCCCTTGCCTCGCTGCTTGGCTAACACTGCCCACCTTCGGCCTTGCAGTCCAATGTCTCGTACCAACGCCCTCACAGGACCTGGTCAGCCACCCAAAGGATGCTCTGCCGAGTGCGCCAGCAATGGAAGATGCAGGGCTTCTTTGAAATCAATGAGCAGCATGCTTTTTTTCAATTCACCCGTATGCTCAAACAAGGGCTGAAGGCCTCCATCCAGAAAACCATCGATGAACCAGTAAGCATGGTAAGTTCCAGAAAAAAACACGGGGTCCCCCGCCCCCAATCCTTCCAGGTTAGACTGTCCTAGAGACTTAAGAACAGTTGCAGGATTGGGGTATGGCTAGTCTAGAGAAATGCGGTGGCTCAGTGTGTAAGACACTGAGCCTGTTGATCAGAAAGTTCAGCGGTT